TGGCTGTTTACTAACGTTTACTTTTTAGCTGTTGCTTATCAATTTTGTATCTCTACTGAGATCCAGCCATTGTTCCCACAGCATTGTTGTTTTCCAGTATTTTGCCTTTTAATCTATATATATATATATATACACTAACTATGTATTTGTACCTGATGAGTGTGGGCAGCTTGACTGTTGTCCATGCGAAACAAATGTGTACAGGGTAGTTATGTAGTACATACATACTTTAAATAAATAAATAAAAACAAAGTAATATATACAGCATTTTTATTGTATATTAATAGTATTTAGTTGAACTCTCTGTATATCTGAAACCACATTTCCATCCATCAATAACAATGAATTTTCAATAACCATTTACACAAAAAAAAAATTAATATAAAAAAATATGCATGGATCCTAAAATACGATGAACGAGAGAGGTGGTCAAAAGTAGTTCTAGATGGTCTTAGTAGTTAGAATTGAGTAACGGCAACCTTCAGAAACATTTAATAATGTTCAAATACAAAATTATTATATTTTAAAATTAAGGCAAAATTATTGAAAATAGATTAGTTTAATTTTACTAGGACTGAATAAAGATGGTGGCTTCACCATAATCAAAAGAATATAATAAGCATCCGAGACCACATTTGGGACCTGAACATTTTAGGTGGTCTCTATTCGGTCTTCATAAATGAATTTGCATTCCATTACATTTTGTTGATTTATTGATGTAATTTTCTAAAATATTGTTCAACGATGGTTTGGTGGTTTATTCCAATTGTAGTTTTATGAGATTGATTTTGTGGGGAGAGTACGCAATGGATAACGATTGCTGTGTAACAAGAACACTAGCGATGTGATGTAATCCAGGTTTCACAGGAAAATGCCAATCTATCGAAATGTACTATAATACCGCCATGGTACAATTACAGTACAGTAGTTGGTCACGGAAATGTGTCCCTTAAAATAGGGGTTTCCTAAGGAACGGTAGTTACTGTATTTCTACAGTTGTGAAATTATCAAGGGTCTTCGTTTTACAACAAAGCACAAACTTTGATACTAGTACTCAATACAGGTAATTATGTTGTTTACATAAAATCTGTATAAAACGAAGAACCTTCTCCCCCATATCCTTGCCGTATACCTTCCCATCGAAATACCGTGATGGTTTAATTATTTTGGAAAATTACTTCATTTTAATTAAAAGCAACTGAATAACGTGGGCCTCTGCTTTGTAGATTATCTGTTGTATATTATTACTATTATATCGTACATTACTGAAAGGTGATACTTGATATTGATACTTGAATGATAAGATTATGACGATATACTCAGTGTATTTCGTTTATAAAATGATCCATTTTCCTATATTATAGAATACATATATTACAGAATATTTTTCTGATAAATATATTGTTTCCCATGACGCAAAATGGAGTAAGGTAACCTTTTAACACAGAATACAATATTTAGACTAAATAAAAAAACACATATTACGTACATTGCACACAAATCTCTTTTGAACTATTGGTGGCTCTGAAAAGAGCCGTTTGGTTTGAAATTGCGCCGTCATGTTTACTTGGAGCTGGTGTACTTGGTGACAGCCTTGGTGCCTTCAGAGACGGCATGTTTAGCCAATTCACCGGGCAGCAAAAGACGAACGGCAGTTTGGACTTCCCTGCTGGTGATGGTGGATTTCTTGTTGTAGTGAGCAAGACGAGATGCTTCACCGGCAATACGTTCGAAGATATCGTTGACGAAGCTGTTCATGATTCCCATGGCTCTGCTGGAGATGCCAGTGTCTGGGTGAACTTGCTTCAACACCTTGTAGATGTAGATGCTGTAGCTTTCCTTTCGTTTACGTCTTCTCTTCTTGTCACCAGTTCTGACGGCCTTAGCCTTACCGGCTTTTTTGGCAGCTTTTCCTGAAGTTTTTGGTGGCATGTTTTCTATGTATAGTCTACGAATAGATGAGTGACGAACGTTTAAACGAGCACTGTATTTATAGAGTGAGATATGCAAAGTAGGACTTCTCGGTCGGCTGTATTATGTCAAGGGTTCCTATTGGTTGTTGAAAACGCGCGATTTATTGAATTGGTGATAATTGTGTTATGCGGGCTTTATCAACCGCATAGAAGACCTTATCAAAGAACCTATTATTCTAGCTCCTATTACAACGCCCAAAATTGTTTTTGTTCTAAAATAGCACGCGCCTAAAATTAGTTACAGAAAAAGAGCAATGAAATTGAGATGGCGCCCAATTTCCAAGGGGAGTAAAATACAAGTAATTAACACTACAGTACAGTAATTAATGCTTATAGCATGGCGGATAATGATACAGTACTAATGTGTGTAAATATAGTATCTGTGGTATGATTAATTTTACTCTACTATCTTGACAACGATTATTTCTAACGTAGATTCTTTTTAAATATAAACTATAATAGAGATCTGTTTCTATACACACACACACACACAAAAAACCCGGAAAACCGTCTTAAATCATAATGTACATAGTAAAAAAGCCCTGGTGTTGAAGATTTTTAAATTTTAGGCCTACTCTACTTGTTTGGGTCGGATTTGTTTAGTTTGAAAATTTGGTCTATAAATATTGCAGACCCCGTGTGCACCCTTTTGAAATGGCGAACCCTCAATTATTTTTTGTGGACCCAAGGTTAGGAATCAATGTATAGAGTGTATTATATAGTCACACGCACATAAGATACAGAAATTGGACATTTTATCTCAGCCTCAATCTGTTCTTATTTTGTTTTTCATTTTTAAGCAATTTCAGCCTCAGTGTTCTTTAAAAATTTGTTGACTCTTTGACATATCCTTGGCCATAGTGCCTAAAGCTGAAATAAAATATTAAACCTTATAT